CACCTGATAGATGTTATTCCTATATATCTACTTATGTGTTGATCAGTTAATACCAATTTGCTGGTGAGTACATGTGGTGCTTATTTTTCCATTCTTGGGATACTTCACTTAATAGAATGGGTTTGCTCACTAAGGTCCAGCACTTGGCTTTTTTCTGTTCCTTAAAGGAACCAGGTTAGTGCTACCTTTGACCTTCTGTGTTTTTATCTGAGTTTATCTTATTTGTTTGCTTGTTTATTTTTTATTTGTCTTCCCCAATTAGAATGGAACCTTCCTACGAGCTGAACCTTACCTATCTTATTCACATTCCAATTCAGGAAAAATTAAATGGACAGCTGAAAACACTGTCTTCTCTATTTTCAAAATGATACATAGTTAGTGCCTTTCTAGTAACTTTCCCTTTCAGACATTGCAGGGGAACTTGGAATTAGGGCTAGAAAAGTGAGTCCTAGGACTGATGGGACAAGTTCATAAAATATGAAACCGATCTCATTGGGTTTGGTGACAAATGCTCTTGTTTCAAATATCTGTTTTATCAACACCATGCTCAGAATTCTACCATTAGTAAATACAGTCAGAATTGTGGCTGCGATAGAATGGAGAAAGGAAATGGAAGTAAGCAGAATCATTAAGCTTTAAGGTGTGATTCCATTTTAGTAATAGGGATGTCTTTTACTAAGAGACATTTGGATAGGGAAAAATAGGTGGGGAGAAGATGAGTGCAGTCAGTTCCAGGTGTATAAGGTGCAGGGCAGAAGTAGAGCTCTCTATAAAAAGATAATGGTGCAGGAAAGAGAAGGTGGGGGACCTGCTATTAAGCTTTATTTATATCACCCACAGTAGTAAATCTACATTGACCCATCCAGTTATAAGACAGTATAAATCAAATATAGTTTTAGCCATATATATTTTACTTAAAATAATAGTTAATGCCACATTTATCCACTGGATTTTATAATGTTTTAATTATTTTCTGTTTATAAAAAGCATTATTTAATTTCCCAATTAAGATGTTGATTTTTTTTTCCTGGTAACAAGATATCATATTTTTTAAATTATAATTTATAAATACACTATAAAATAGTATAATTGTTACTATGCCCATGGGTTCTGTCCCGTTTCTATGTGTAAAATCAATTATCAGAAATTTATGTTGATTTATTTTAATTCAAAAATGTGGTCATTGTGATGATTGGTACAGAATTTGATTTGTTCTATGAATTTTCTATTGTTAAGCATATTCCATTTTTGTTTGTAGTAAGTTGCCATTTTGAATGAAATAGATTCAGTAAAAGCATTATGCTCTGATATCCACGTGTCACTCTGGAGTCATTTTGACCTTCCAGTCATGCGTTGACTATAGGCATTCCCTAACACCTCTCTCATCAAGGTTGCCAGGGTCTCCACATTGCCACAGCCATCTGGCCCTTGCAGGTCTCATCTTCCTGCATTTCTCAGCAGCATTTGACTCCACTGAACAATCTCACCATCTTGAAATTCTTCTCTTGGCTTCTGAATTTCTTCATTGTTGCCCTCTTCATTTCTTTGGCCAGACCCTCATCTTTCTTGAGCTCCAAATGGTGGAGTACCACAGAGCTCAATACTCAGATATCCTGTTTATCAATATGCAGTGATCTCAGGTGGTATGTTCATAAAAATCAGTTAGGCACTGATGATTTTCCACAGTTGTAGCTCCATACCCAATCTTTCTCTTAAGATAAGACACACTTGAAAACTTCTTTTTAAAATAAAAAGGCATATACAATTTAACACATCCAGAACAGAATCTTTGATTTTTTTTTTGAGACAGAGTCTCACTTTGTTGCCCAGGCTAGAGTGAGTGCCGTGGCGTCAGCCTAGCTCACAGCAACCTCAAACTCCAGGGCTCAAGTAATCCTTCTGCCTCAACCTCCCAAGTACCTGGGACTACAGGCATGCGCCGCCATGCCTAGCTTTTTTTCTATATATTTTTAGTTGGCCAATTAATTTCTTTGTATTTTTAGTAGAGATGGGGTCTCACTCTTGCTCAGGCTGGTTTCGAACACCTGACCTTGAGAGATCTGCCTGCCTTGGCCTCTCAGAGTGCTAGGATTACAGGCGTGAGCCACTGCGCCTGGCCTCAGAATCCTTGATTTTTATTAATACTCTAAAACCCACTCTTCTTTGTGGGTTTCTCATCTCTCTGAATGATGATGCCATGTACCCAGTTTCTTGAGTCAAAAAGCTCTGGAATTACCTTTGACTTGTCTCTCTTTCATAGCCTATGTTCAATTCATTACCAAATACTGTCATACTTCCATTCAAAATATATCTTAAAAGGTCAGCTTCTCATCAATTCCATTGCTACCACTCTAGTTGAAAGTAATCTCATTGTCACCAAGGTTGGAAGAACTGCCTCTCCACTGCTCTCCCTGTGTTCCTCCCTACAGTCTATTGTCTACCCTCTAGACTGAGAGAGACTTTTAAAATATGTCAGCTCTTGACTTGATCCTATTAAAATACTTTAATGACTTCTCCTTATGCTAGGATGAAACTAAACTTCTTCCCCTGGTTACTAAGACCACATATAAACTGGTGCTTGTCCTGACAATGGCTTCATCATCCTCTACCACCCTCCCCTTGCTCCCTGCTCTCTCGCCTAAATCATTCCCATCCTGTTCTTTGAAGAAGTCCAGCATGCTCCTACTTCAGAGACTTTGGGCTTGCTGTTCTCTCTGCTTCTCTCTTATTTAGTCAGGTCTCCACTCACATATTGCAGCCTTAGAAAGGGTGACTTCTCAAACCTCTGTAAAACATCAGACTCTCTCACTCTCTACTTTCTTGCCCTGTTTTGTTTTTCTACCTAGACTTTATCATCAACTGAAGTTATATCACAATTTATTTGTTAGCTTGTTTATTCTGTGCCTTCCCTCCTACAATACAAACTGCACAAGTGCAAGGACTTATTTTGCTCATTGGTTTGTCCCTAGTATTTATTTCAGTGTCTGGTAGGCCTTCATAAATATTTGTTGAATTAATGAATGAATGACTTATATTTGGGAAGAGAAAAATTGTGCACAAATTTAAATCCTATGTGATTTCTGCAGGACCTCACAGAGACATGGCAATATGGTGAATCATGGTGGTTATGTGAATGTCATGCTACCAGAGTAGGTATGAAAAAGATTAAGGGTGGCTGGCTATGTGAAGGAAGCATCACTTCAAGATGTAGGAGCCCATATTCTCACTTTTCTGTGTGTACCAGAATATACTTTGTGGATTTCTGAAAGTACGCACAGAGGAGAACTGCCCCCAGATGTTCTGATTATGTAGTCATTTTAGGTTGGGGGTCCCCAAAAGCAGAGCTTGAGATATGGATTTGGGTGCTGTGATTTATTGAGAGAATGTTTGCAAGTAAAATCTATTAAAAAGGGAGGAACACAGAATGGGGAAGGAGTGGGAGCTGAGAACGAGTGTGGTCCCACGTAATCTGGCCTTGGTCTGATGCATATGGCAAGAGCTTTGGATCATAAACTGTACCATAAAGTTTCCTTTTTGGGGGAAGGGACCAGTATCAGTCAGTCATTGGTCTTGGACTGCCTAATTGGTGCAAAGGTAACTTTTCAAGCAATGAAGCTCCCCTCAGTGGAGGGCAATTCTCCAGAGAGCAAGCTGAGAACACTCACAGCAGCTGGAGGGTGGCACACTGGCCCAGTGAGGGGGAACTGGGCAGACCACCCCAATGTCCTGTACAGTTGTATAAAAAGGAGCTGATTGTGAAGAACAGACATTCATTTATTCAACACATATTTACTGTGACCTGTCATGGGCCAAGTACATACTACCAGTTGCTAGGATTTTGCATGAACAGACATGGTTCTTGAAGCATGGATAGGGAGAAACAGAAATATTCATCAAATAAACATGAAATCACAAGATATATACTAAATTATTACACCAAAGAATGAATTGAAGCAAGATTGTAGGAATAAATTCACGATGTTGTATAGGTAGGTAATGGTTTCTTATAAATGGCTCTTGCTGTAACTTTTAGAAAGATTATATAAATTCATTATCATAGTAATCATTATCTAATGTCAGCTGTATGTTAATCAAACAGTTATCAGGCCTTATTTGAAAACTCAAAGAGAATAAAAAAATATGTTTCAGTCTGGAAACCATGTTAGTGTACAAGTCCTGTAATTGATCATTTTTCAAAAAACAAGTTGATTTTTCTTTTAATGAAAATTGAAGCCAAGGAAAGTAAGAATTAAAAATTTTAAGTTCAACTAACGTCTTGAGTCAGATGCTAATTCTTTTTTGTCTTTTAGAAATCATCCCACTAATTCCTATCCCCGACTGGCCAAGCAAGGCAAGAACAAGAACAAGAGCTGTTTGAGAAGCAGGGATCTTGTTATCATGCAATATTCCTGTTCATAGACTACCCATAATTCTCTAGTCTCTCTGGAGACTAAAATTTCATTGAAGTCATTGAATTGATATGAACTGTTCACCATTATAAGGTAAGCATAATTGTGTTTAAAAATTTAAGGGACAAAAACCTCATCTGAATAAATAGATACAGTACAGATACCTAAGTTCCAAGCAAAGTTTGAGAATTTGGTATTGGAGGTAAGACCTGCCAAGAAAGCATGAAAGGAAAACTTGTTTTACACATTAAATTATTAGAAAGAAAGACACAAGAACATTTTTTAACTACCAATAATTGGATACCACTACAAATCTACCCACTACAAATCTACAAATCTACCTGATTTTATCTAAAACCTTATTTTCATCTCTTTTTTACCTTTGCATAGTGCTATGGAAACTACTGTACTAAAAAATAAGCCATCTAATGAGCAACATAATACATGCCAGTAAAATAGGGGTCCTTAGTTTAACATAGAACAAAATTTCAAAGGAATATAATTGTGTTGAAGTGTCACCAAGACATCTCTTTAGGAGAGTACAGTGCCAGCAGAAATAACAAGGCTTATTTTCAATGATTCTGTTCATACCTCAAATCCCTGTGGTCTTCCTAGACTCTCTTTCATGTGTTTCCACGCAACAAGAATCTCTGACACAGACACACTTGTTGCCTTGACATCCGTGGGAGCAGCACTGGGTTCTGTATGAAGGGAAATGAAAATAATAAACCGCAATTATAAAAGTTATATCTATCAAAGCAAAATGCACCTGAATCTGTCAGATAGTAACTTCCTTTCATCTTATTTTCTAAATGAAGTTCTGTGGTCATTATGAAAAACACAAGAGAAAAAGAGGATTGTTTTGTATTCCTATACTGGGTCAAGTCCAATCAATACCTTATCAATTACAAATGACAGATCTAGTAAGACAAGCCAAGAACTTTATCCTTGGATTAGCTAGGATATTTCTGGAGGAACTTAAGTTATCTGACTTCATCGTCGGTCTAGCATAATGATTAAAAATGGACTATATAGTCAGGCTTGGCCTTTTTTTAGTTATTGCTATTGTTTTTTGCCTTTAAAATATTATTTAGCGGCCGGGCGCGGTGGCTCATGCCTGTAATCCTAGCACTTTGGGAGGCCGAGGTGGGCGTATCGCTCAAGGTCAGGAGTTCGAAACCAGCCTGAGCAAGACCCCATCTCTACCAAAAATAGAAAGAAATTAATTGACCAACTAAAAAATATATATATACAAAAAATTAGCCGGGCATGGTGGCGCATGCCTGTAGTCCCAGCTACTCGGGAGGCTGAGGCAGTAGGATCACTGAGCCCAGGAGATTGAGGTTGCTGTGAGCCAGGCTGACGCCACGGCATTCACTCTAGCCTGGGCAACAAAGTGAGACTCTGTCTCAAAAAAAAAAAAAAAATATTATTTAGCTATTTATTTACCTTTGGATAAGTTGTTTCACCTTTTTCTAAGCTTTAGTTCCCTTATTTGTAATATGAGCATAATAAAAGTATCCCATAGTTTTTTAAAGTTATTTTTATTTATTTATTTATATATGTATTTTTGAGATAAAGTCTCACTCTGTTTTGTGGGCTAGAGTGCCATGGTGTCAGCCTAGCTCACTGCAACGTCGAACTTCCTGACTTAAATGATCCTTCTGCCCCGTCCCCCCCCCACCCCCGCCCCCCTTAGCTGGGACTACAGGCGCAAGTCACCACACCTGGCTAATTTTTTCTATTTTTAGTAGAAACAGGGTCTTGCTCTTGTTCAGGCTGGTTTTAAACTCCTGACCTCAAGTGATCCTCCTGCCTCAGCCTCCCAGAGTGCTAGGAATACAGGCATGAGCCACCGCGCCCTGTCAAAGGTTAGTTTTAATTAGAATAATACATATAAAATACTTAGTGCTATGCTTGGCACTTAAAATGTTCATTCACAAAATATCATATTATTTTTATTTTTTATCCTGTGTAGGCAGAAATAGGGTTTAAATTTCATTAAATATTTTTGTTCCAACCACAAACTACATTTCCATGATTATATAAGGAATGTGTTATGAATCATGATATTTAAAAGGCATGCATTGACTTTTAAAACAGGTGCAGATGGAAAAGGAAAGTCCCCAAAGGTCTTGGCACCATTGCTCAAAATCACCTTTTCATTTGTTTCTATGCTCAGTGACCTTTTGCACTATTTTTTTCAAATACACAATGTCTGACTGGCATCCATCAAGACTTGCACTTTATTTAAGGCTGCACTCAATGTGAGGAACAAAATATTTCTAGCTTTGACATGGCTGAATCATAAATACTGTGTCACAAACACACGTAAAATGAAATGGCAGAATAAAGGCCATACATTAGTTTAAACAGTTCTGTACAAAGTCTATTACAAAATCTTACCCCATAAAAATTGTAGAGATTTTGTTACTAACCCCATATCATCAATAAGAGTTCAGATTAATCTATTGATTTTTTTTTTTTTTAGATTCAGGGAACCATATAGCAAAGATAAGAGTGCTAAATAAGATTTTTAAAAGGCAGACATTGAAGAAATTAAAACAATTTTCTAAGATATTTCCTTTTCTAATGGGAGGTAGTCATTCATATATCTGGAATGCTTTTGTGTATTACTAATTGAAAAATATCAGTCAAAAACATCTATCCTGTTGCTGTGAAACAATACCCACAAAAGATTTTTTCAAAGGTACATGTTTATACCAAGAAATGATTTTCTTTTGGTCAAGTCTTTGTTAAAATCACATGCTATAATTATGTCAACTCAAAGTGCTTTGGCAAATTCACATTAATTTTTTCACAGATGCTGACATTAATTTCTGCCATAGTATAAATTGTAATTTCTCATTCTGTCACCCTTTGGAGATTTTTTTCAGTATTTCCTTTTGCTCAGTAGTTTGTCTCATCTCACTTTCCAACTCCCTATTATTTATGCATCTACCCAATTAAAAAAATTGAGTTCTGGGAAAAGCTTCTACTTCTATTTTACTCTAGAATTCTGATTAGTAGTCTTGCAACAGACATTTTTTCTATTACTATTTAACTGGAGTTAAAATTATTGATTTTTCAAGTAAATAAAAGGAAATACTGATGTTTTTGAGGTTTCTACAATTTGATCTCTAGAATTTAGGATATAATTTATTTCAAAGGAAGCCACACTTTGTCTATCACTTGTTATTCAGTAGCAGTTTTGCTTCTCTTTAGAATAAATGCATTGCAGAGATTTGTGGACCAATTGCCTTCTTTCAGCTTTTATATTTCTGAAGCAATTACATCTTTGTCAAAGAAGATTGCAGGGGGATAAATAATTTTAGGAGTACAAAGCATATGGTTGGGTAGCAGCCTTTCTATCTCTCTTTATCTCTAGAAAAAAGAATTATTTCTCTATCAGTTTTCATAGTACTATACAAGTTTAAGTACTTCTCAAATAGAAAGTTAAGAAAATTTTAAAGTAAATGAAAAATGTTCAGAAACCTACTTCCCAAACAGGCACTTTAATTTCTATTTAAAATCTCTGTGAATTTTAAATCAGACATTTCACAGTTGCATTTTGGGGCCTGCATATTATAGTTGCATATAATTGAATGAATCAAACAAGAACTGAAGAGTCATTTTAATTTGTTTCACCTTCTGGATCTAAATGGTATCAAAAGTAGATCCCTGCTGACCCGAGATACAAATTTCAACATGTAAAAAATGTGTTCTCAGATTATTCCAGAAGTTTTAGTGTGTACTGTTTATAGCTAAGTGAACATTTTCAAGTGGATCAAAAATTTGTCTGCAGACAGGAGTAACTGGGTCATAGAATGTCTGGTTTGGATTGGAACTAGCTGTTCTCTCTGGGAATCTCATTGTAATGAATGATGGAAGGTCATAACTAGAAAGGGTTTTAGAAAATCACTTGGATCAAAATTCAGAAGTGGTTGAGCAGTGGGTCTTTAGTCATGTTTTGTTTGCCCACATAACGTTAAATTTATTTAAGCCAACATTTAAAAATAAGAATCCCTGACTTTTTAGGAAAATATCAAGTCTGAATTCTTGAGTGTTGGTAGATAAAGATTAGCAGTTGACTCCATCAGTCAAGGCAGGTGCTTCTCAGTTTGCCGAAGTCCCTACCACTCCCTATTGTCTCACACAGTATTTATATTTCTTACCTTACCCCTACAGGCTTTGGAGTTATGGGCCTGTATTTTAAATCCATACTCTCATATTGTACTTGAGAAAAGTAACATGTACAAAGGTTGATTTATCCAAACTCAGCTTATGGCTCAGAAAGAGCTCCAACTAGAACTTAAGTTGGGCATGTTTTTTCCTCCGTTTTTAAATTGGCACCCAGGAAGCAGCTGGCTCATTCTCCCTCTCTTAGAGTCAATTTTGAGGCACAGAAGAGATTTTACAGGAAACATGTATAGTTCATTCTTTGGCTGTCTAATTGCCTCCAAATAACTAACAGAAGAATAGATAGAATAAAATTAGAAACAAATAAAAAAGAGAACAACAAAATAGATGAGGGAATAACTCAAAGTAATAATAATTGCCATTAATTGAGGATATGCTGTATTCCAAGCCCTGTTCTTAATTCTTTACACATATTCATTAATCCTTCCAACAACCTTATTATCACTATCACCATTTGTCAAATAAAGAAATTTGGAGGCAGAGGTTAAGTAACTTGCCTAAGGTCCCATAGCTGCTTGATGGTGGAGGGAGGATTTGAATACAGTCAGGTTCTGATCACTACACTATTTTGCTTCTGTGCATATGTCTATGTTATACATACCTGATTCATTTCTGTTGTTTTCTTATCCTCTTCCCCCTCCACATCTAACTTCTCTCCAGAGTATTGGGCTCCCTACTTGGATTTTCTGAGTCTTGCCAGAAACCACCTAGACTCTTATTATCACATTTAATTCCCTTGATTCCTGTATCATGGGCTTTTTGGTAATTTTGAATCACAGCCGCACAGCTCCTCATAGGTCATGTCATATTTAGGGATCTCTAAAACTTATCTCCAAATCACAGGATGCTTTCTGCCACTATCACTCCTGTATATTACATTCAGATAATTTGATGAAAGTTCAGGGACTTATTTCCGAGACTGTTACTAGTGTTACGTCTAGTAGGCTCAAGAACTTAAAAAGATCTCTTTTTATTTCTGTTACATATGATGATATTAATTAGGCCATGGCTAACTCCTTCACTCTAATCTTGGAATATGAAGTGGACAGGCTGATTGATAGATTTGTTTCTGTTAGATTAAAAAATTTGAACAGCATTACCATGTTCATGAATTTAGATGATACATTTGTATTAAGTGACCTAGCAGCTGGAGTTCTCCATGTACTATAGGGGGATGTGCTTGTAATATTGATTATACATCTGACTTCCCAGGAGGGGTGAGCAACAGCATTAATCAAAGGAGAGTTTAATAAACTCCTTGGGAGAAGGGTTATGGTTTCATTATTTAAAAATTCAGTGCAGACAGCTGTAGTTGAACTTTTACAGGCATTAATCCAAATAGATCATCTGGCAAAGACAGGAAATTATTCCTTGTATTTTACAACTAATATGCCAATTTATTAATTTTCAAGTTCACATAAATCCCACTGAGCTCAGTTTCAGCTAAGAATATATTAGGAGAATAACACCTTATGAATGTGGGGTTTTATTTTGAGCTGTGGTGGCTCCACTTGCAAGGGGATAATTGTATGCCATTTTATGCAAATAAGAAGAGACTTTTAGGTGTAGTAAAAATTAAAAGCAAAACATTTTCTATATAAAGACAAATCTAAGAAAACTAGAAAAAGATAAAGCATATCACAAATAAATAAATCTTTCAACCTACAATTAACCTATATCGAATATCCTTCTGTTTTTATATTAGGTGTAATTGAATAATCTGATTCTTTCAATTCCAAAGTTATAGTAACAAGAACTAAGTGGAAAATGGGTATAATTTTGAGTGTTAAGTATTTCTAGAAATGCAGAAGTAAGAGCTGATTTGATTTTTCATCTTGAAAAAAATCACTTTTTATCAGTTGTATCATGCATTTTAAAATCACTGAAGTTGAAACTTGGCTATACTTTAAAAAATTGTAATTGTTTTCAAAATGAGGGTATTATATGGGATTATACCATACCCTAGAGGTCTGAATTCAAATCACATAATCCTTGCTTGGTTTAAAGGGTATAGATATTTGATTTAAGTACAGGTGCATGGAAATCCTGGCAGGCAAATATCTCTCTTTTCACGCTTTATGTCAGATGTTACTTAGCACTGACAGAGTCTTTAACGGTTACTTCCATTATAGAAACATTGAAAAGTTTCAAAGGCTTAAGGGTGTTAGCAGAAGAACCATGTGGAACTTTTCTGACAGTACTCTAGAGCAATAGGCAACCTCAGAGTTGTGAGAGTCAAAGTGATATCCCAAGTGATTGATTTACCAAGTATCAATATTTATAAATGATGATTTCCTTTAATACCAGGTAGATTTAAGGTTTTCCCTATAAAAATGTAATTCTCTTTTGCATTCCAATAGGCTTCCTTAAGATGAAAGGAAAGGGATAGAGGGCTTGGAGAATTCACATAAATACTTCTACAAAGTGTGTTCTGGTTGTGAATGTCATCCATTATTGATGTTTCAGTGGGAAATAGGTTGATAAGTCATATTGCAAGGTGTGCCTTGTAAGTCCTTCTGTTATGTGTTTCCCTCCAAAGAATATAAATTCTGGTGGCTGCATTTGACACATTTTTCTTCCCTGCTTGGTGTCAGCTGTGAAAAGGTGGCTTCTTCATGGTGCTCAAGGCATGTAGCAAGCATTCTTGAAATGAAGAGGAAGCACTAAGCCCATAAACAGAAATAGAAAGATACTTGCAAGCCTTTGTTCTTTACTGCATCTAAGAATATGGAGAGATTTTGAGGTGATAAAGAAGTGAACTGGGTTAATGGAAGAATAAGGAAGCAAGATTTTTCTTATAGAGAAATATAATCTCAATCAGATTAGTGGGGCTTTGGCCAACAATACCATGATAAAAGGCACAAGGTGAATTTGTATGAACATCTGCAGACATAGAGGAGAAGAACCTGTGCTGGCATGAGTATAATATATTGTTTTATGAGTTTATTACAGGCCTTGGTTCCTTTTAAAATGGTTTAATCTTTGAAATGTTCTCTTCTTTTCAAATAAAACAATTTGTCAAGTGTATTGGCAATAGTGGTTTCCTCTTTTTATTATATAGCAAAAGTTGATCTACTGTCTCTATCTAATGTGGGACAACTATTTAAAATAATTTTATAATATAGAATAAATTGACAGAATTTCAATTTTAGATTTATAAGGGCTTCCAGGGATGTTTTAATTCGGGATCTTTATTTTTAAAGTGGAGTGAGCACAGGCTCAGAGAGGTGAATAAACTGCCCAAGATCATCTTGTTAATGTGATCAGACTTGAACTCAGGGTCTGATGACTCCAGGCAAATGCTCTTCTTTCCCCTGCTTTTCTTGTTTGTCACAACTTAATGACACTAACACTTTATTCATATTTACACATAAAGCTCCAAATTTGTAAGTTTAATTAGTGAACAAATGCCAAATATCTGTTTGAATTTTGCTGTCAGAACAAAGGCAGAACTTTACCCATATTTAACTTGTCTGGTATATTTCCCATTTCAATTTACTAAAATAAATGAAGTGTTACTATGAAATATGTTACAGCAACAGCCTCAGTGTCTTTGAAAGAAAATATACAATTTCCTGTCTGGCTTGAAAAAGAAATCTCCAAAGGTAAGCCATTTCAAGTTTAAGGAAACACAAAGTAAAAGAAACTAAAACCAAAACAAAACCTATGGTGGCTGCTATAAATTAATTTCAAAGCAAAGGCTGACAACTTACAAAGCTGGATTTCTTAAAGATGGCACTGGTAATACTATACAAAGCATGTTCACAAACTTCTCCAATTCATCTCTCATGTGACTTTTATGGTTATGCGATTGATAATTAGGTTGAGACAATTTAAAAGCAGCAAGAATATGCACTTTCTGAATAACACATATACTTCAAAATAGATCTTTGGAGTAAGAAATAATAGAAAATATCATTATTGTATATATTGCTGGTAAGGCAGTATAGGGTAGTGATTAAAGCAACTGCCTTGGAGTTATGTGGACCTGGTTACAATTCCAGCTCTGTCACTTATAATGGTTACTTACAGCTGTGTCACTCATGGTATGAATTTGAGCATGTTGCTTAACCTTTCTGGGACTCAGTTTCCTGAAAACTAGATTGGGGCTTGAAATTCCAAGTTCATATTTGGTTTTTAAGGATTACATCAGATAATATAAGTAACATAGTATAATAGCTTTATCTTCAAACACATTAGAAATATGAGATACTAAGTGCATGGGTATCTCATTGGAATGCCTATGATTCCTTGTCATCACTTGATTCTTCACTTTCTTGATCATTCTTATACTTTTTGCTTCTGCTTCAAATTTGGCTCTATATTATAAAAATATAAGGCAACTTTTTATTGAAAAACTATATCTTACACAAGTCAAACATTATCTTCATTTCTCAATATTCAAATGCCTTTATTTATATTCCCCCAAGAAGTTCACAGCACTAAAGTGATTAATCCCTCTCATGAGCTACTCAAATCACACATGCAGACACAAAGGAAGTACAAGGGTCAGTTTATATTGACCAGGCTTATTTGGAAGGTCAAATGAGTGCTGCCTTTGGTGGTACATTTTCTCAGTCATTTGTAAATTTAGGGAATGTAAGCATTTTTTAAATTTAATTTTTTTTTTTTTTTTTTACTTGATGGGCCAATTGCAATTCTGCACTTGAATAGAAGAAGGAGTAAGAGGAAAAGTTAACTGTAGGGGTTAAATCTATCATGTTTTTCTCACTCAGAAAATTATATTTGTGCATGAAAATCTGAAAGAACCCAAGATTTTGATGTAAGAAGCTGGGCTTGCACTGCGGCTTTACAACCTATTGAGTACAACATGAGTAAGTCATGGTTTTTCAGTTTACTCATCTGTAAAATAGGTACATTGCCTACTAGGTACTACCTACCTACAAGTTATATTGAGAATTTAATGACATCATGAATATAAAGGCAGTATACTATAGAAAAATCAAGGATTTAATGGTTAGACAGATAGATAGACCTGGATATAATCTGGATTTAATTCTCTATTATAAGCTGTACAGTGAAATCATGTTTTTTTTGGAAACATGATCTCACTGTGTTGCCCAGGGTGGAGCGCAGTGGCTATTCACAGGTGTGAGCATCATACACTATAGCTTGGAACTCCCAGGCTGAAGGGATTCTCCGGGCTCAGCCTCCTGAGTAGCTGGACTAGAGACACCTAGAGACACGCACCACGCCTAGCTTGTGTAACTTTTAGCAAGTTCCTTAGCTTTTCTGAATGTTAGTTTCTCTTTCTGTGCAGTGAGACAAGAAAGTCATGAGGACTTCATGATGTCATGTGTAAAACACTTCCAGAGAAAGCCCTGACAATTCTTTTTCACTACAGTGCTTTATGCATGGGGTTAGAAATAAATGCTTATTGGCCACATAAGTAGAATCTTTATTTAAATTTATTTCACATATATATTGTTAAAATATAAAATTATCTAAATTTCAAACTAAAGAGATTGTTTAAATATCCATCCAGAGAATGGAATATATTGCAGGGATTACTAATATTGTTATTTCCATGGAAACATGTTGCCATATATTGTTAGGGAGTAAAGAACATATACCAACATATATAGAATGGTCTTCTTTCTTTTTAATAAAATAATATTTTAAAAAATTTAGAGAAATATATCTGAAAAGTGTAGTGGGATAATGGGTGAGTTTTATTTTCTCTCCTGAATTATTTGTATTTTTTAAATGTATGTACAATAATATCTCATTATTTGTATAACAAAATAAAATATTAATATGTTAAATAAAAATAATAAAGATTAAGACACTGACCTCCTTCAGCTGAACAGATGACCACAATTTGGCTAAAAGGCCCATCCCCTTTATTGTTATAAACGCCAACCTTCACTTCAAAAGGAGTGAGAGGAGGGACACTTTCATCTCGATAAATGAATTTGGAAGCTTCGGAGGATGTCACCATTTTTTCCTTCCAGCCACGTGTTCCATTGGGTCTGAAAGCCACAATATAGCCAAAGCCTTCCCCATTCTGAAACTCTTCAGATACTGGCTAAAGAAGAAACATGCAATTAATTATCAGCAAAATGACTGATAAAAAAACCCACTTCTTCCAAATCCTTAATTTTTTTAAATCATGCATAATTAGAGAAAAGGAGAATCTCAAATCTCTATACTACATTGGAAGTCAACATAGCACAATCACTTTGGCAGTTTTAGGAAACTTAAAAGACTTAAAAGTAGATGAAAAATTAAATTTTATGACTTGCAATGTAAGAAAACTCTCAAGAGAATTGAAAACTCTTGAAGTGAAACAAATTTGCTCCAATTAGTCACGTATATGAAATGAAGGTCCTTGAATTTCATGCTAGAATTTAACACGTTGGAGAAAACTGTCATATGGTCTGGTGGTCGGGAACATCTTGTCACCAGTAATGCTCTGCAGAGCCCTTTGCGCCACAAATCTAGGAGATATTAACATTAAGACCTTTCTTCTAGTGTTCTTTCCAATTGCTTTTGTGCTTTACTAACGTGCAAAAACTGGACTTTGGTATTTGTTCGAGAAGCTTCTTGTGCTATATGGCTGACATTTATTTTTGTTAAATGGGCTTCAACTGCCCACCACCGAAAAGAGTAATTGTGATCAACTCAGTGGAGAAAAGTTACCAGCCACTGACTAGCACAGTGCTTGACACATAGTAGATACCCAACAAATATTTGTTAAGTATTTTTTTTTCTGTTGAATTTTTATTTGAAGAAAAACTGTGTATTAAGTGTAGAAAAAGAAAGAAAGCCTATTCTATTAAAGCTTATAAGGAAGGGCAATTCTATTTAAAGAGGCATAATCTCCGTGAAGGTTAGATATTGGGATGTTAATACCTCTTCAGACATCAAAAACAAGATACAAAGTTTTATTGAAGAAAACGGGAATGGACAAAAAAAACAAAAAACAAAACCAAACAGGACAGATGACATGCTCATGAAAGATTTATTATTGGGAAAATAAGTTTTTCTTTACATTTTATCATTATTCTTGGAGATTGCCAGGGATTTGCTCTATTTTCTCTCACAGGCATGTTCATTTCTGTATATTCTAGGCAGGGCTCTGTGAGCTACATAGTTATGTTTGATAATAGGATTATTTAACATCAAAGAAGGAAGTTGACTTCAAGGAAAATAAATGTACTCTTCACACCACCTCCACCCCTATTCACTCTTTTTTTGACAAAAGATACTTTAGAGGCCATATGATGAAGTAGATCAAAAACCCCCATAAATTTTGTAATCAAAGTCCTAATTCTGTATGTTGGGGAAGGTACTTAAACTGTGCTTCAGTTTTATAATTTGTAAAATGAGGAAAGTTATCTCTGCTAATAAGATTGTTACGTGGGTTAAATGAGATAATCCAGGTAATGTGCCACATATTCAGTGGTGGTTAATTCCTTCCTCCCCACTGATTCTAGCCTCCAAATAAGCCAATGAGACGACTTAATCATAAAATAATTAAATATCAGACTAAGCCAAACAAGCACTTGAAGTAACTTGTGAGAGGATGTGTTTTAATTATTCAAACTTTATTCTGCGATAACATAGATGACAGGAAAGTATGCCTTAGACGTGGTCGCTTGTACCTGGAGTAGATACTGTGTGTGTAGCTTCAGTCTCCGAAGAATTAACCAGTTCTGACATCTGAGTAAAGAAAGGCTTTCTTACCTCCCAGGCAATGACTAACTCATGCCTCCTTCCACTTCTTCCACTTACGTTGGTGGGCGCTGTCTTTGGAACTGTGGATGAAAATGGGTCCAGGGTGAGGAGAGCAAATAGGTGTGTAATTTCCTTACAAAAATAACACATCATGACCCTATTTAGGTTGGGTACAATTTTGAAACAAGCCAAAAGTTTGTTTGAAATTATAATGATCATATTAAATGTTAAAATATTGGAAACAGACACCCTGCTTTCAGTCTATGTGGTAGAGTTTGATACATGTGTTTTCATGGCCATTTACTTCATCCCTAAACTAGTTCTCTTGTAAATGCTCTATGGTAGCAATGCCGAAATCATAATTATTAACATTATAGGTAAAGAAATCTATTAAGGGTTAGGTAAATTTTGTCCCTCAAATTGCTCACTTTTCTCCTTTGTCAATGCTGTAACTCTTTTGAACCCCTGGAAAATCCACAGGTCGAGATTAGCATTACTGTGTTTCCAGAACCCCCAGGAAGCTCCAGTTTAAAGAAATCTCAGCAACAATTCCCTGGAGTGAGAACCTACTTAAGTGAATAAACATTAAAAAAAAAAAAATCTGTCAAGAATGAATCTCTCTGCAAACTGCAAAATTTATAGGCACCCAGTGAAACTTTTTCAAATGAATAACTATTAAAAGAATAAATGTGTCAAAGGAATAAATTTCCTCTTCACTGCACCAAACCACAAAATCTGCAGTTGAAAGGGAACATTTTCAAATGAAGAACTGTTAAATGAAGAAAACTATTAAAAGAAATCATTTTCCAGGCTATGAGCCTGCATTAGCAATTTTACACTTCAGCATTGCCTTTCTATCCCAGCATATAGTTTTTAAACGATATTGATATACTCATAAACAATAAATTTACTCCCATATATTACCTACTTGGATGAAAGGCTATTAATTACTGGTAGATAGTCACACAGCATTTTATATACCAGAAAAACTGAAGCGGAATTTATGTACTACAGAAAGGGAAAAAACAAATTCTCCTTGGGCCAGGGAGGTAGATGAGCAAAACCTGTGAATATATAATTGGCTACATTGAAATAAATGACCTTTACTTGCCAGGGTCCAAATTTCAGTATTGTTGGGCAACTTTTTTCTATGAATATGACTCTTCTCTTGCTCATGCACACATAGTGACTACAAATATAATATTATACAGCAGCAGGATATGTATACCAGCAGCTACTAAGCCTTTTTCCTTTCATAGTTATATACATACTAAAGATTAATCATATGTAGAGTTCATTCTCCTGTATTCCTTTAGAATTACATGGAATTGGATACCCTTTTGTCTCTCATTTAAGGAATCACATGGAATTCAACTGAAAAATAAATGATGCTATTAGAACAATAACTGTGACTATGTCCTAATTTATATGAACAAGTGAATCATTTATTAATGTGAGTTCTTTATTATTAGCCATAGTTACTGCTAGATGTAACAACCTATAACCTATCAGGAGGCTTTCACACCATGTCTGAAAAACCACTACTATACAGTATTAGTTCTAAATTTATTTTCTGGTCTTTGGTATGGGTAAGCCACACAAGAAGGAAGCTGTTTAACTGTATATGTAAAATCCAAGGTTCCAAATATGCCTTTGGTGGTTAATCTCAGAGTTCTGAATATCATAACCACCAATGAATGGTCAAGTGAATAGTGGAAGCAAGATAATTTGTAGATATCATGCCATTATGTCTTTGCTTAGTACCTTTAAAAAAAGGTACCCACATATACACACACACACACACCTTTCACATTTATTTCTGACAACTCACATTTAAAGGACATAATGAGCAATATATAACAGACCAAGTACTTTGTCTATTGCATTGGACTAAGTTTATATCCTAAATTTAGGACTTTGAATCTTCTTCAAGAACATCATCCCTATGATTATGGGTTTTCGTAGAAAAATTAGGCATTGAAGATCCTTTTCTACTTTGTTCAGCCCTAAAACATCATTCAAACAGGACGCTTAGAACTTTTAGATTAAAGTTGTAAATTAAGCTGTAGGCTAATTAGTGGACATTTCTGGAAGCCCATTTAAAAGACATGAGCAGTATTCATAAATTATATCTTGTATCTCTTTGGGATCAGTTATGATATCTCCTTTTTTGTTTCTGATGTAGCTTTTTAGAGATTTCTCTTTTCTGCTGTTTGTTAGCTTAGCCAATGGTGTGTCAATTTTGTTTATTTTTTCAGAAAATCAACCTTTTTGTTGAATAGCTTCCCTGTTTTCAATTTCGTTTAGTTCTGAATTGATCTTGTTGATTTCACTTCTGCTGGGTTTGGGGTTGGTCTGTTCTTCTTTTTCCAGCTCTTTGAGTCGTTTAATTAGATTGTTTATTTGTGATCTTTTTGACTTTTGGTTATAGGCATTTATGGAGATAAACTTTCCTCTCAGAACTGCTTTAGCTGTGTCCCAGAGGATTTGATAATTTGTCTTTCCATTGTCGTTTTGTTCATAGAATTTTTTTTTCCATCTTGATTTCTTCATTTATGAAGTAATCCCTTAGTAGGAGGTTGTTTAATTTCCACGTTTTTGTGTAGAAATGTGAGTTTCTCTTAGGGTTGATTTCTACTTTTATTCCACTGTGATCTGAGAAGATACATGGTATGATTTCTATTTTTTTAAAATTTCTTGAGGTTTACTTTGTGTCCTAGGATATGGTCAATCTTAGAGAATGTCCTGTGAGCTGATGAGAAGAACATATATTCAGTGGATTTGGGGTAGAATGTCTTGTATATGTCAATCAGACCCAATTGTTCTAGAGTTTTGTTTAAGTCCACACAAACTGGAAAATGTGGAGGAAATGGACAAATTTCTAGAAACACACAGCCTCCCTAGGCTCAACCAGGAAGAAATAGATTTCCTGAACAGACCAATCTCAAGAGCTGAAATAGAAACAGCAATTAAAAATCTCCCTAAAAAGAAAAGTCTCAGCCCAGATGGTTTCATACCTGAATTTTACCACACTTACAAAGAAGAACTAATACCTATCTTGCAGAAACTATTCCACAACATTGAGAAGAATGGAAACCTCCCTGACACCTTTTATGAAGTGAATATTACTCTGATACCAAAACCAGGAAAGGATGCAACAAAAAAAGAAAACTACAGACCAATATCCCTAATGAATATAGATGCAAAAATTTTCAACAAAATCTTAGCTAACCGAATCCAGACGCTTATCAAAAAAATAATCCACCATGACCAAGTGGGCTTCATCCCAGGGATGCAGGGATGGTTCAACATACGTAAATCTATAAATGCAATTCACCACATAAACAGAAGCAAAAACAAAGACCACATGATTCTTTCAATAGATGCAGAAAAAGCTTTTGACAAAATTCAACACCCTTTCATGATATGAACACTTAATAAAATAGGCATAGAAGGAACATACCTAAAAATGATACAAGCCATATATGACAGACCCATAGCCAACAGCATACTGAGTGGGGAAAAATTGAAAGCATTCCCACTTAGAACTGGAACCAGACAAGGCTGCCCACTATCTCCACTTCTATTCAACATAGTGCTGGAAGTCCTGGCTACAGCAATTAGACAGGAAAGTGGAATTAAAGGTATCCAAATAGGGGCAGAAGAGATCAAACTTTCGCTGTTTGCTGATGATATGATATTATATTTAGAAAACCCCAAAGATTCAACCAAGAAACTCCTGGAGCTGATATAAATAAAATAAATTTAGTAAAGTCTCAGGATACAAAATCAATATACAGAAATCAGAGGCATTCATATACACCAACAACAGTCAAATTGGGAACTAAATCAAAGACTCAATTCCCTTCATAATAGCAACAAAGAAATTAAAGTACCTAGGAATATACTTAATCGAGGAGGTAAAAGACCTCTATAGGGAGAACTATGAAACACTGAGGAAGGAAATAGCAGAGGATGTAAACAGATGGAAATCCATACCATGCTTGTGGATCGGCAGACTCAACATCATTAAAATGTCTATACTACCCAAACTGATCTACAGATTCAATGCAATATCTATCAAAATCCATCAGCATTCTTCACAGATATAGAAAAAATAATTTTACGCTTCATATGGAACCAAAGAAGACCCCAAATATCAAAAGCAATTCTAGGCAACAAAAACAAAATGGGAGGCATTAATATGCCAGATATCAAACTATACTACAAAGTTGTACTAATTAAATCAATATGGTATTGGCCCCAAAATAGGAATATTGACCAGTGGAACAGATGTGAGAATCCTGATATAAAACCATCCTCATATAGCCATCTAATCTTTGACAAAGCAGACAAAAACATATGCTGGGGAAAAGAATCCCTCTTCAATAAATGGTGCTGGGAAAATTGGATAGCCACTGGTAGAAGGCTAAAGCAGGACCCACACCTTTCACCTCTCACAAAAATCAACTCACGCTGGATAACAGACTTCAACCTAAGGTATGAAACTATTAGAATTCTAGAGGAAAATGTTGGAAACAGTCTCCTAGACATCAGCCTGGGCAAAGAGTTTATGAAGAAGTCCCCAAAGGCAATCACAGCAGCAACAAAAATAATAAGGCAGTGATTAACTAAAAGCTTCTGCACAGCCAAAGAAACAGTCATGAAAGTAAACAGACAACCTATGGGAGAAAATTTTGCATCCTTGCATCCGATAAGGAATGATAACTAGATATACTCTTAGATCATGAAAATCCAGCAAGAAAAATTCAAATAACCCTATTAAAAAGTGGCAAATGACTTGAACAGAAACTTTTTAAAAGAATACAGAAGAATGCAAACAAACATATGAAAAATGCTCAGCATCTCTAATCGTAGGGAAATGCAAATCAAACACAATGAGTATCACTTAACTCCAGTGAGAATGGCCTTTATCAAAAAGTCTCCAAACAATAGATGCTGGTGGATGTGGAGAGGGGAACCTCCTACACTGCTGGTGGGACTGCAAATTAGTTCACCTCTGTGGAAAGTAATATGGAGATACTCTAAAGCGATACAAGTGAATCTACCATTTGATCCA